ATCTTCACCCAATGTTGTTGTTGTCAGTGAATCGATGTATATTAGAGTATCGCAAGTAAACCTGACATTCCCCGACATCTCCTGTGTATTCGGTTCAGGAAAATTCTCATCATGGCATATCATCGAGCTCGCAGTAATTCTCAGAGACGGTTTTGCATCCCTGTGATTTAATGATCCTTTAAAGTTAAATCTGCGGAACAATATTCTTTAGACAACAACAAACGTTTATTCGATCGCAAATTTTGGTAATAAGTGAAAAGAGTCCCTTGAGATGACATTGAACAGAGACCTTTTAAATTAAATGCACACCAAGGTATTGCTAAACGCGAACATGATGACCCCACTTTTCCGATCCGAAATAATGGGGTTATGTTGACCCGAACACGTTACTCAGAAAAACTTTAAATCGTTAAGGAGATCTCATGCTCTCTATTCTGACAAGTAATATATTGTAAATGCCGTTTTGTTGTTCTTAAAATTACATTACCGAATTAGAGTGGTCGTCGCTTAAGTTTTAATCCATACACATGTATATCATTAAGAATTAATGTACCATTGTCCTGTTTAATGGATGGGATCGACAATTTAGTAATATCGTCTATTGGGAGTTGTTTATATATCATTGTTTGTCAGAGGATTTCTCCTTTCCTTTGGACTTACTAATAGAAACAGAAAATGGAGGTTTTGCTCTAGTGGCTCCTATTCTTGCTTTATGTTTTAGATACCACTTATCTCTGCTAATATCCATGACAATGAGCAATAACGATTATGCCATTGGAAGTGCTATGCTATCAATGTGTTTGCTCAAGGGAGCAGTTGGCATAATGACGGTCCTGTGCCATACGGCGACTTTATTGCCGTTTATCATTGCAATCCTACCACGTTCAGGGGATAGAAACGCGTCCAGTATTTTCGTCTGATACAACTGGAAATACTGGACGCAGACCTCCATTTTTGATCCAGAGAGAGGTAGGTGTAATTCTACTCGGTAGCCTGTGATCGTTTTACAGCGTGTCCTTACCTGAAAACAGGCTCATCAGTTTTCCAGTAAATTGGGGAACATCCAATTCTTATAAAATGACAGCTATCCATCAATTTTTTCTGTAATGTGGGTTTAAGCACAATAATATTTTTTTTTTAAAATACACGAATCGAGTTATATTTCTTTTTATTTACCATTTCATTGACAAGAAATGCAATTTCTTGTGTATATGAACTAACAATCTGCCTTCAATCTGCAAAATTTAGCTTAAATGAGATGATAAAAGAAAAATGACGAAATTTTAGAAATACTGGACGAAATAAAAAATGTACTGGACACAAGCCTGTTAATACCAGATGGCTTGCGTCCAGTACATTTCATTTCGTCCGGTATATCTTTAAATTTCGTCATTTCTCTATTTTCGATCATTTCAAAGCTAAAATTTGCCGACGAAAATACTGGATGCATTTCTACCCCTTGAAGTTACCATGTTAAGAATAACAAAGCACTAATGATATCAGTGAAGGTCCCCTGACGATACATGTTGACTAGCTGTTTAGGGCTGGTATATAGAACGCCATAATCAATTTTCATTTTGCCTTCAGAACGACAAAAGTACAACAAATAATACAACAAATAAAGAACGGTCACCACCCTGCAACATCAATACACATTTTTGGCAATGCGGTCTTGTTTTTGGTTGTTTGATGACGTCTTAAGCGGCGCAGCTACTCAGGAACGCCGTTTGGTTTGATCAAAAATACGCACCTTGCAATATAACATCAATGCGCAGGGGCGGATCTGGGAATCAACAAGGGGGGGGCCCAACTTTTAGGTCAGAGAAAAAAACGTCCGCGCTTGCGCGGCAAAAAATTTTGGGCCCCTAAAACGCAAAAGTGGGCCCAAATTTTAAAAATTTTGAGGCCCATTTTCTTCAAAATTTGGCCTGAATTTAAAAAATAAGGCCTTAAAAGGCCCAGTAATGACCAAAAAGGCCGACTTTTTGGGGGCCTTAAGGCCCCCCCCCCCCTAATCCGCCAGTGATGCGTTCATTTGGGGGCGCGAATATATTGTTCTACCGTGTGATAGCGAAATATATGTGCAAATGAATGCGACTTTTAAAATATAAGTAGATTAATAACATATTTGCCATCGATTATTTCGAAGACCCGACACATAAATCGATCTCACATTTTCGTCAAAGAGATTGAAAATACTTGGAAAACGTGCCTTACCCGCCTGCCATTTTGAAAGAGGTGCGTTAGCCTAGTAGGTACGCCGAGTGAGTACTCAACCGTGCTACAAAAATGCGTTGACGTATTGTCCAATTGACCATCTACGTTCTCTCAACATTGATCAAGGTATGTTACATCGACATGATATAGTACCTCAATAACTTTTCTTCCAATTAGCGAAGATTAAATATCTTGCGTTTGCAAGACATCAAGGAGAAGTATATAAAGAGAAGCATTAAAATTATAATGGCCGCAGTGACGGCGTGATGCAAAAGAAATGCCTGGAGCGAGCGAGCGTTTGTCTATGCTTTGTGTAATTGATCCATATATTTCAATTCTTGAGGGATTATTGCTAATTAAAGCGAATACTGTTTACAAATCGTGACCTCTGTCACGAACGAGTTCATTATTAATGTTCGCATTCATTACGTTATCTGTAAAGTAGGAATATATAATGATTCGATTTTTATTACTTCTATACATATGGTTTCGTCGTTAAGATCTCATCATGTTCGTACGACATAAGGGTCGACATACTGCAATAGTCTACAATACTTCATTCTTTCTAGACCATCTGAATCAAATGATCCCAATGCAACTATTCTTATCGGTTATGAATCTGTACATACAGTAGTACAATAATCGTACAGATACATGCAGCTGCCTTGGTGCAGTATCTACATATATGATCTAATAAAAATTTCTCTGTTTTTATTAACAGTAGTAAATGAGCAATACATTGATATGGAAATAGCATTGGAAATTAAATTAAAAAGTCTTCTGTCGCAAGAATAAACTGGTCGTGTCAGTCTGAGGAATGAATATATGATAGAAGGAGCCTAAAACATAATAAAACGTATATTCTCGCATCGGGGCTGTCCTTTGGTCTACCCCCCCCCCTCCACTCTCCCCATCAATTTTCCCAATTAAGCTGGATGAATAATGGGGATGAGACAACACGGGTACCCTTTGCATTCGTTTGACTTCACTTCTTAAAAGAGAGCTTCGTCTTCGTGTAGTTACTAGACTCTGCACGCAGGGTACAACACGGGGTTTTATATAATACATTGGAAAAGTCAAGGTAATTACAATTATCAATGAACGTTAATTATGAGAAATATAATTGGCAATAGCGATAATTCACCATAATCTATATGTTCTCTGTTCTCCATATGAATATTGCTTATAGCTAGGAGAGTAAAGTATAAATAGTAAGGTCGACGATTTATGGCTTCAAGTTTAGCGGCTGTCCAGGTAAAAAATCCAACCATTATTTATAGCAAGTGTGCTTAGTCTGAAGTCTGCTCTTCCTTCTGCAAAGCAACATGTATGTACAAGTGATGTTTCGTTATTTAATAGCCTTTGCCATTGTCAAGGTCATGACCTTAACTATCCTCAAGATGGGATTGGATTATTTTGACACCAATTTCTGGGGTTATTACTGCCAAATCAAACCATTTGTTAAATTATAGCCTACCATATGTTCCTTGGGAATAAGATAATAATATGTCATATCGAATGAGTATTGATATTTGTCGTGTGTTTGTAATTCTGTGACTTTTACTGTTGTGGCGTTCGGCTTTTGGGAATACGTTTTCGGGAGAGAAATTAATATCGAGGATGGAAATAATGATACGAGTTAGTAAAATGTTATTGAACATGTTTAGCTTGGATGACTGTGTTTTGTGATGTTCCCATTGTCTGTGATTGTATATGTTTCCTAACTTATTTGCACGTGGCAGGCCCGTAGCCGGGGGAGCTGCCCCTGGCAAGAAATCTTTCAAAATCATGCAGCTTTTCACCATTCTGAGCTATTTTCGCATGAATATTTAGCCAAAATGTAAAATACCCCTACCCCCTTGACAAAAGCCCCCCTCCCCTAGGTAAAACTTGGCTTCGGGTAATCGTGGCGTTACTAAGGTATCATTTTAATTTGAAGGTGGTACGCGTTACTTTTGTTGCCGCAGACAATGGAGCCATTTGAACAATGACGTAATGCAAGTTTATTTTTATTGCGATAATAAATGATTTGGTTATTAGGTTTGATGTGAGATTGAGACAACTACACGGTACCTCACTTACCACCTGAGTGCCTCCTTGTGTTCTTTAGTTTGTCTATTACCAATATATTCTCATCAAATTCTCCGGAAGTCAGTTTTGTTTTGACATACTTCTATGTATTCTACTTTCACGCTATCACGTTCCATCACGCAAAACGAATCGACTTCTACAAGACAAACGTCTAGGCATAAACAGAACCGACGATTTTAAGTATCTATGATAAGTGCATTTGACATTTGAACACTAGTTCCATTCTAATATTGATGAACATGTGTAAAAAATCAGGCAATGTGTGGAGAGATATGTATGAAGTTGCCCCACGTACTTGAAAGGATTATTTGTTTAGTAACGTAGAGGACTACCTCTGGCGATTCCTAATGCTTTCTAATTTGGTTCAACTTGGCTGTAAATAGTTAGGTTCACGTTAAGTGAAGATTCGACAGAATTGGCAATCTTCATATGCTGTATGCAAATTGTTGTCTGGAGGGGTCGAGGAGGGGGGTCCACTTGGGTTTTATTCTGGACTTAATCTCAACAATGATGGTTGTCAAGGCAACGTATTGATTGTTGACGACAAGATAAAAGCAGGGTTGACTTATGAAGTTAATATGACGCCAAAGCAGAGTTGACTAATAACGTTAAGTTACACTCTTTATTATATTATGACTAATGAATAAAAAATGAACATCTTAGAGACCTTCATATATTTAATACTGGCTTACCTTGTCATAAACGGCTGCCATAGACAACTCTGTTTCTAGAATCATAATCCCAAGTCCGAACATGCCAAATACCAAGGCATAATCTGAGATCCTTTTTCGTTTTTCAAATAATGTCTTTCTTTTGCCGAGTCTATATCCGACATGACTTGGCTTAGAGCCCCCTTCTGGCATTGTCCCGGCAACCTCCTTTTCCTCAGAATATTTTTCATTCTCATTTACTAATGCGCGTCCTACATCGTCTGACGCCTGACTCATTCTAGTCTTAGGCGACGCGGGTGCACTTTGTGGTGCCCCTGCCACCGGTTTTTGTAATTGTTTAAATTGCTTAATTGCGCCATTTACCCGCAAATAATCCGTACCGATATCAGCCACTTTGTCTGAGATTGTAGATGTCCTGTTATGTTTTCTAGCGCGCACTGATTCACTATCTGTCGGATTCAACTCTTCAGTGGCAATCGTGCTACTCCTATCGTGGTTGCGACCGAGCCGCGAATTTGAGCCTAAATTTGCATTGTATCTTGGAGGAGGGCCTCTTACAGGAGGCAAATGTTTGCTGGTCTCTGTTGCATTTCCATCACGTTTATTTTCGTCTTGCAACATTCGCAAGTTGTAGTTTCGCATCTCTATATCTGAATTGTTAACATCAGAACAGCTGTATCCATCATTTATTTTCCCCGGGTGATCTACTAAGGGCTTTGGGTCGAGTGTTGATGGCGGCTCAGCGCTCATATCTCCAATGCGATCGCCCCCACGTTCTTCATGGACCAACTCTTCAACAACGCATTCTGTCTCTGACGAATTGGCCGCTTCATTCAGCAATTCCTCGCACGAATCCATACGCGCCCGCTCATTGGCCGGCTCCACAACGACAACAGACATATTACACAGAGCTCGACCAATCAGAGATCAGATAACAACCACTCTAAAGTAAATTCAATAGATTGATTAGAGATAAATTATCAGTTCCCCAGCTATGGTATTGCAGCAAAAGCTTTCAACAGGCTTCAATCTAAGGTAATTAACGAGTTATTGTAATATTTCTGTAGACGATTAGCCCATCTTGAAGGTGTTAACAGAGTCAATGTTGTTTCCCCGGACCACAATATTTAAGACACTAGGAGATGTTGATTTGACCTACTGACAGATAGATGCAGAAGGTATTCTTCTGACAAACGCAATCTGCAAATATATAAAACATACCAAAGTTTTATTTCAAAGGGAAAATATTATGAAGCGTGGTTGAGGTTATTCATTTACAAAGCTTGAGCATAGGAATGTAATGTTTACTCCTCGTAAATAATATGCACTTATAGAACTATATTTCCACATATTGATTATGTGTGCAATGTGCATGTTGTATCTCATATCTAAAAAGGGGAAATATCCATCAGTGTTTTGCAATATAACTAGTATTTAAATATGTAAAAAATAGTGCTAAAAGCAGGGGACAAAACTTATTAAAACGCAGTTACAAAAAGGAACACTGAATCGTAAGGAAACAAGCCCTTTAAAACCCTAAACACTGAGCTAAACTATCGCCTTCTGTAAATATTCGTCGTCATAACTAAGCCTGCAATAACAATTATTCAATTAATTTTATGTTCGTCAAAAGTGCGCCACATTTGCTTTACTGTTGTCTGGATGTCATCATGATAAATCATGACATCTCATTTCTTCTCAGCCTTGAAACAGAAAGATGCAATGGGTATCAGAATGTCTGGATGTCATACACAGTGACTTTTGAATCAACAGTTTCCTTGGCATTCTGATAGCGTTTTCCTGTTTTCCCAGAAGTCCCAATATGGCCACTCACGCCAGCATAGCATGTTAATTTGAAACAAGGCTGTGTGCAGAATATACCCTGCGCGCAGAGTCTAGTAATAAGACGGGGCTCTCTTTTAAGAAGTGAAGTCGAACGAAGTCAAAGGATTTGCAGAATACCATGATTAAACTGTACACTTTTTTCAGAATACCATTGGAATTCTGGTACAACTCTGTTCTCAGAAAACCATGGTGATATGAAAGATCGCTGTGATGTAGAACAACGCTGTCTTCAGAACAGCATGGTAATGCGAAACAACGCTGTGTTGGTAATCTGGATGGACACTGTGTTCAGAAAACCATAGTATTAGTAACGCATAAAAACGCTGTGTTAAGAACAATGAAACAATGCTGTGTACGGAGAATGTAAAAAATCGCTGTGTTCAGAATGACGTAGTAATGCAAGACAACGCTGTTTACAGAATACCATGGTTATGTGAAACTGAAACAACGTTGAGTTCGGGGATCTTTCATGAATTAGGCCTCAGAACACCATGGTAATTTTGAACAACACGATAATTCCATTGTTATTACCACTGTGATTCTAGTGGTGATATTGTAGAAGTATGCTTTGTCTGAAAGGCATAGTGGATCAATATGTTAAATCAACTGAATTATGATAAACTGAAGACAGATCCAACAATCATAATTTAAGTTCACATGGGCGGAAAGAATTATCTATATTCGATCGAGTAAGTCAAGATTATATTAATGTTTCATGGAATTATCTGATGATTTCGGAATCAAGTCACGGTTATGTCACCTTGACCTTTTAGTCTATCAGGAATATATTTTTCGATTTTTCTTAATTGGAATTATATACGAAGGAACACGTCGAAGACAGGATTATAACTTTTAGTTCAACGCACCACAATTTAGTCTTCTTCACTAAGGAAAATGTAATTGCTTTTTTTCCATTGGACCAATACAACGTTCGCCATCTTTAAATCATATATTCACAATAAAAGTGATTTCAGTTAATGTCAAACTTGATTTGGGCCATAAAAGGCGAATGACAAAGCAAAGACGAGAGTTAATAAGAAATTACAATGATGCAGTGTATAAACAGCCTGCACTGGCGGACTAGGGGGGGGGGGGGGGGGGGGGGGCTGGGGGCCCGGGCCCCCCCCCCCCTTGGGTGGGCCCAGAAAAAAAAATTGGCCCAAAAAAATTTTGGGCCAAAAAAGGCCTTAAGGCCCCAAAAAAGTCGGCCTTTTTGGTCATTACTGGGCCTTTTAAGGCCTTATTTTTTAAATTCAGGCCAAACTTTGAAAAAATGGGCCTCAAAATTTCAAAATTTGGGCCCACTTTTGCGTTTTAGGGGCCGTTTATTCTCTGACCTGAAATTTGGGCCCCCCCCCTTGTTGGTTCCCAGATCCGCCCCTGGCCTGGCATGGGGTAATCCTCGCCATAATTTTACAGAAAAACGATAATTCTGACGTTTTCCAAATTGAAACGTGAAAATTAAGTCTTACAATAGTATTATTGTCTCCTATAGCCTAATGTTTGTCTCGCCTATTTTAATTTGCCTCGCCTATGTCCCGCTTATTTTAAATCCTTGCTACCCCCCCCCCCCCGGCAATCAATTCAGACTGACTACGACTACCATCTATTTTATTAACATAGCCCTTCTCTTCTACGCCTTGCAAAGGCTTTCACGATGTGAAGACCAGGATATCCCATCCTGACCGCCCTCTATAAATAGTTGTCTTAGTTATAATACGAGGGGTGATTCAAAAGTAATGGACAAAATTTTATAGGCATACTAAATTTCACCCAATCAGTCTAATTTTTTCACAGTGAATAGATCAATCAATTCTCTACTTTGTGTCGAATTCTCATTTAAATGCATTTGAAATTGTTTCAGCTATGCGTAACCATGGTAACAAGGGTAAGCATGGGTGGAATTGGTTTTTTAATGATAATTGAATGTTTTTGTCATTTTTGCTTGATTTCGTTTTAATGACTCAATTACCACACATGATATGTCTAACAAGCATGGTAATGCAATTGTCAAGCAAGACTCACATGCCCATGTGTTTGCTGTTGAGTTCTTAATTCAGCAACCAATTGTGCTATGACATCACAATGATATTTCTAAGAATGATGAGTCACAGTGAGTTAGAAAGTAGATCAGACTCTTAGACTCACACACATCCAAGAAATGTCTACTTTACAACAAATCAAAGTTAAGCAAAGGATTGTTATTGAATATTTGGTAGCTACTGGAGAGACAAGGCAGGCAGTTGTCAAGAAAATAAAAGAGACACATGGAGACAAGGCCTTGTCAAGGCAAGCCATTGAGCGATGGTACAAACACTTTAGTGAAGGGGATACAAGAGTCTTAGATCTAAAGCGATCTGGAAGGCCCAAGACTGGCCGCACTGATAACACCTGAGAGTCCATCCTAAATGCAGACAGGAGATTGACACTGAGAGAAATAAGTTCCATTACAGATGTGTCCTACTCTACAGTACAAATGATTGTAAGGATTGAACTTACTGCGATATGCTTTTCATATACATCTTGCATTGCAAAATATATTGCACCAGCAAACTTTTATTGAAAATCCATTTGTTATTATGATGAAAATAGCCTTAAAAATGGATTCCGGGTGTATGCACCATGATCCAAGAGAAGTGCTCTATCTCAAAATGTATTTGCATTTAGTTAATAAAATTTTAACATCTAATAGATAATTGATTAATCTTTATTTGTACAAAGTTTCATTCAAATCTGGTAAAGGTAAGCGTGCCTATAAAATTTTGTCCATTACTTTTGAATCACCCCTCGTACAATAATGCAAGTATTGAAGAAATGTTTAATCCTATAGCTATTGACACAGTCATTTAAGGCTTTATACAAATCAGTGTTTGAAATGATATACCAGGAATATCCAAAATGATATTTTAAATGATATAATTGCAATTATATATAAAAGATATCCAAAATATGGGACAGAAAAGGCAAGTCAATCGAGTTTCTAGTCACAAAATGGAAAAGTTATAATAATTGTAAATTTTAACATTGCAAGAGCCAGGTTTCATTTGAAGTGCCCCAATGCCATTTCTGGCCCGAGAATAATCTTTACAGCCTGAACCTCTACCACCATCATTTTTAACGCTGCTAAATGTTCTTTAAGGTTACGGTATGTTATACATGTAATGATAAATCTTTTAAATTCATCGCTAGCAAATCGTCCAGTGCAGAAGTTGCCTAAAGTTTTGAGGGGATTATATAATCTGTGTAAAAGTAATTCCTCTCAACTAAATCATATTACTATACCACGGGTACACCCGTACACGTATACCTTTCTTACACGTAAACATTTAATTAATTCTCTTTAATGCATTGGAGATTTGCTGAAACTCATACATCTCTTTATATAAAATTGGTTATGTTCATATTCTGAAATCAATATCCCAATGTATGTTATACGTCTTTGATGCTTAATCTTCAAAGGTGAGATCAGAGGTATATGCATTCAAGAACAAGGCCCCCGGGAATATAACCGGACGGTCTAATCAGGTTGTAATATACGAATATTTATAACTCCGACTCTGGGATAGTAAAGTACGAGAATGTGCATTTTTCTTCAAATATTGTAAATGGTTCGGAATGGATATTGAATTGTCTTTCTCATGGTACATAGCAGTACGGTGCATGTTAAAATATTTTCACTTGGAATTTATAACAATCACATAAGTACATAAAGGTCGCCATTTTAATTGTCCCACCCTGCATATGGTTGCTCATACACTCTCGATCATTACAATTTGCAACAGTGATATCACTTTCCCATTACATTGACTTCCATAATCATCCCCAAAATACACGTACCTTATACACGCAAAGAACTACTCTGTCTCTATATACACATAATAAAACTTGCCCCGATTTATTAAGTCTCTCCCGGATGTATTCCTCTCGATAACTATTATATACACGTTTTTCCTTGTGCATTATGCTCTAGATTTTCTATATATACATCATAATCCGCCTCCTGATAAAACATAGTAATTTCCTTGATCTACCATTCTTCTACATAGTGAAAACTCCTTGGGGTAAACTTCGACCTAACTCATGTTTTCCATTACATTTGGGTCGTTCATCAACATCTAAGTGGAGTTGTTTTTAATTTAATGACATATCCCTCGAAATACTAATACGTTTGGCTGAATCTCTGATTAACCCTGTCGTTCCTTTTGCATTTTTACATGTGTAAATCGATGTTTAGAATTTTATAAAACTCTGTACAGTAACCAGGATCAACAATCGGTCCTCTTTCTATGAACTTAGTAATTGGTTTTGTGATTTTATTGAAACCCCGCCGCCCTCATATAATAACAAAAAACCTG